AACTCACCAATAGGGGTGCCTTCCGTCCATAGACCAACTCGAAATAAGTGAATTTGGTCGATGCATGGTACATTGTATTATACCAAATTCAGCCCATGGTAGAAATCCTTCCCATTTTCTCAGAAATTCATGAACATAACACCAGAGATATTGTTCGAGGATGCGATTGTTTACCTCAGTTTGCCCGTCCATTTGAGGATGATATGTTGAGCTCATAGCCATCTCGGTACCATGCATTTTGAAAAATTCCTTCCAAAAACTACTCACGAATGTCCAATCTCTATCCGATACAATGGACCAGGGAATCTCATGCAACTTCATCACATACTCAATAAATAACTTAGCTATGGATTTAGCCGTTTATGGATGAGTAATAGGAATGAAATGTGCATACTTGGTAAGACGATCCACAACCACCATGATCCCGTTGAACCCATTAGACATTGGAAGTCCTTCGATGAAGTCCATTGTTATGTCCTCCCAAATTCTCTCGGGTATCGGTAAAGGTTGTAAAAGCCCTCCCGGTTTTCTGGAATCTGACTTCACTCTTTGGCAAACGTTTTTACGAACTCCCGAACATCATTCTTTGCCCCCGGCCAATAAAAGGTATTGGATAGCCTTGTCCACGTACGACACACTCCCGAGTGTCCCCCAATCTTGGCTTCATGGAAATATTGCACCAGCTGAAGTCTCAAATGATCAGTTTCTGGTACATACACCCGACTTTTGTATAGTAACAAGCCGCCATAAACATCAAAATCTTGGACCTCCTCCTTTTGGGCTTCCATTTTCCTACGAACATCATTACAAAAGGCATTTTGAACATTTGCCTCTCGTAGTTGGTCCCATATAGCCCATGTTGGTTCCGAAATGGCTTGAAGTTCCGCCACGTCCGTCCGGCGAGATAACGCATCCGCCACTGCGTTTTGTCGACCCAGCCTATAATAAATCTCAAAGTCAAACCCCATGAGTTTTGACACAAATTTTTGTTGCTACGGAGTCACTATTCGTTGCTCCAACAAATGCTTTAGTGGTTGTTGGTCCGTCACAATTCGAAAATGTCGGCCCAAAAGATAAGGCCTCCAAACCCGGACCGCTTCTACCACAGCTAGCAACTCTTTCACGTAGACCGACCATCCCACTCGTATACACTAGCATCCGTATGCACTTCAAACATCACCTCAAAGTTAGGCATGGCCAAAACCGGGGTCGTTGACATAGCCCCCTTGAGTTTGTGGAATGCCTCCTCACTACAAGCCAACCATTTGAACCCTCCTTTTTTCGTCATCTTCGTCAATGGCTTAGCAATCGATCCAAAGTCTTTGACAAATTTTAGATAATATCCGGTTAGCCTTAAAAATCCCCGTAGTTCCTTCAAATTCTTCGGTTTTAGGCCAATCAAGCATCGCCTCAATTTTCTTGGGATCCACTTTAACTCCTTCAAAAGATATGATGTGGCCCAAATACTCCACCGATTCTTGGCCAAATGAACACTTCGAAAGCTTTATCTGAAAATCGTTCTCCTTCAAAATATTCAAGATCAGTTTCAAATGCATCACATATTCATCCCAATTCTTCGAATACACCAATATATCATCGAAGAACACCAACACAAATTTTCGCAAGTAATCTTGAAATATTGAATTCATAGCGAATTGAAAAGTGGATGGTGCATTACATAAACCGAAAGGCATTACCAAATATTCATAGTGCCCTTGATGAGTCCAGAATGCCGTCTTGTGAATGTCCTCTTCTGCCACCCGTATCTGATGGTACCCCGCTCGCAAATCCAATTTGGAAAAATAACAGGATCCCGTCAACTCGTCCAACATGTCATCAATGCTTGGAATTGGAAAACGATCTTTATGGTAGCCGCATTGGGAGCCCGGTAATCCGTACAAAACCTCCACGCCCCATCCTTTTTCTTGGCGAGAAGTACCAGTGAAGAAAAAGGACTCGTACTATGTCGGATTAATCCTGACTCAAGTATTTCACGAACTTGCTTCTCAATCTCGGTTTTTTGAAAATGGGCATACCTATAAGGATGTACATGTATGGCTTTGGTTTCATCCAACAAAGAAATGCGATGATCGAACTCTCTTCGTGGTGGTAGATTTTTCAGATCAGCTTTCACTTCTTTCAAATTGTTGAAGCAGCTCGTCAATGTCCTTTTGCTGAAAGTGTTCCTCATCAACACCCTCCAATTTATCGACTCTAATGGCAAAAATTTGACTACTTTATCTTGAAAATTTCTCCAAACTTTGAGCACTCACCTCCTTCGTTCCCTCCTTTCCTCCAGTTGATAATTTAAACCTTCCATCACCCCAACAAAATTCCATTGTTCCCACTCTATAGTCTGTAGTAACCGGACCCAATCCTTCCAACCATTGAACCCCAAAACCATCTCCGGTCCTACCAAGAGTAGTGCATACAAGTCGGCCTTTAAAGTGACCCCTTGCATTTTTATCGGCACACCCCGGTAAAACTCCGAGCATTTCAACCTCTCACCATTAGCAACCCTCTTCAAACGGCTCAACTTTCGTGACATGTAAATTTATTTTTTTGGACAACGATGAATTTATAAAATTATGAGACGAACCATTGTCGATTAGCACAAGTACACGTCGATCACGAACCCAAGCTGATATCTTCATCGTCTTGGGTCCTTGAGTTCCCGCCATTGCATGGAACGATATCTCCGGGTTCTCCTCGTGAGGATCAATTACACTCTTCAATTCATCCCCCACTACTTCATCTTCTTCGGACTCAACGCATTCAATGAAGAACGATCGCCTTTCTTTGCACCGATGACCGGGTGTGAATTTCTCGTCACAATTAAAGCACAAGCCTTTCTCCCTCCGTCTTTGCATCTCTTCCCAAGACAAACGCCTAACCCCCGATGAAAGGTCTTTCCCATTGCCTGTTGATGTATTGACTCCCGTTCTTTGAACATTAGAAGGGAAAGTCATCGGTCGTCTCACTTCCGGTCGATTGGACCTCCGTAGTGCCATCAAGTGATCATTACGCATCCTAGCGGCTTCCATGGCGGCACGCATGGTTCTTGATTTGTCTAGCCTCACCTCCGCAGGCAAATCGGATTTCAATCCACCAATGAATGTACCAACAAGTGCTCCTTCCGGCCAATCACGAACTCGACTTGCAATTCTTTTGAATTTCTTTTGGTATTCTCGTAAGCTTCCCCTTTGCAAGATATGTGAAATAGCTTCATCATAGTTATGATAATCCGACACTCCGAATCGAATAATCGATTCTTTTTCGAAATTCTTCCAACGAATCCATTTGTCCTCCTTCTTGTAAACCCTCAATAGCCATTGCCACCATACATTTGCCTCTCCATCGAGGTAATAAGCGGCATATTTCACTCTTTCCGACTCGGGTATCTCATTAATTTCAAAGTATTGACAAGCACGATTTAACCATGAATCAGGATCCATACCATTAAATGCCGGAAGCATTAACTTAGGTTTTTCGACCCTTTGTCTTCCACGGTGGTTTGATCCCCTGGAACGAACATCTTCATCCTCCGGAAATTCGTTCCGGTTCTCGCGACCCTCTTCAGGTTCGGTTGACCCTTCGGAAGATGATTCCGAATGGTTACCCCTCCTAGCCCGTCGTCCAATGGTTTGGAGCATCATTCTCTCGAGTCTTGCCATCGTTTGATTCGTGGATGGAATTTCTTCGCTCATTGCACGCATGCTCTCCTCCATATGATCCATCCTCTCTCGATTAGTTTCTATGATACACGATTAGTAACTCTCAACGAAAGCACCAATGTTACGAATTGAATATCGATTATCGAATGTTGTATCAAAACCGGATTAAAGAACTCGACTTTGACACGAATTGATGCTTGGAAACAAGCTTTTTGTAGTGAAAGTTCATAAAAGACTTGATAAAAAAACGTACAATGTCCAGCACCCAAACTAAATACATTACTACCCCCTAAATTTTGAAAAGAAAAACTGTAAAAACAACTGCTCCCGTCCAGGCCTTAGCGCCGCTAAGAGTCAATAGTGGCCTCTAACCAGGACAACGTAAAGTCTCTGTCCGATGATAGCGCCCGCTACCCCACCTTAGCGCCGCTAAGGGTCCTTAGCGGCGCTAGCCCCTGAAAAACTGCTATTTTTCTGCAACTTCATTCTTGCTCGACAAGCTCGGTTTTACGCGTTCTTTAGCTGACGGCCCTCATCCGCATCATGAAGCTTTGGCTCGAATGTTACCTGACTCATTTGCTGCAGAGGCGAGAGTCCACTATATACACAACATATAGATATGGAGACATAATGTTGATATCTAATACTGTCACCACCGGGCACCATCTTTCCCTTTTCCTTTTAATCAAAGAATGATTCCAAATTCTTGTTTTACATTTGCCGTCACCAATCACCATTTTCGTAAATCACCACAAAAATCTTCCCTGTCCCCACATTCACACCCAAAAAGCGTGG